CGCGTGCGTGTATACAAAGTATAACCCCAGCCTCACGCGCACGCAGCCACGCGCGCGCGTGCGTGTATACAAAGTATAACCCCATCCTCACGCGCACGCAGCCACGCGCGCGCGTGCGTGTATACAAAGTATAACCCCATCCTCACGCGCATGCAGCCACGCGCGCGGGTGCGCGTATACAAAGTATAACCCCATCCTCACGCGCACGCAGCCACGCGCACGCGTGCGTGTATACAAAGTATAACAAAATCCTCACGCGCGCACGCAGCCACGCGCACGTGTGCGTGTATACAAAGTATAACCCCATCCTCACGCGCACGCAGCCCCGCGCGCGCGTGCGTGTATACAAAGTATAACAAAATCCTCACGCGCGCACGCAGCCACGCACGCGCGTGCGTGTATACAAAGTATAACCCCATCCTCACGCGCACGCAGCCACGCGCGCGCGTGCGTGTATACAAAGTATAACCCCAACATCACGCGCGCACGCAGCCACGCGCACGTGTGCGTGTATACAAAGTACAATCCCATCCTCACGCGCACGCAGCCACGCGCACGTGTAAACAGTAAACAGTAAACAGTAAGTACCGACATCGCCGCGTCTTCGCCTCCCTTATCATCTCTTATCGCTTATCACGCCTCGATTGGCATTTTACGTGTAAATATTAATGGCGATGACGGCCACGGGGCATCGCGCGGACGAGTGCAGTCGTACACTGGATGATGCTATACTACCGTCTTGATCCTCCGTAAAGAGTTTTACGAGTTTGATTTAACGTGAGACCACCGGCTATATCGATCGACTGGCTGCGTCACGCTATACCACGCGTGCTGCGTGTGCTACCGTGCGCTGGGAGCGGTGACTTCGGGGTCACATCTTGATATTTCTCGCGCACGATTGTTAACCCATCCCCCTTCCCCTCCTCCCCCCTTCATAAATTCACGGCCATAAATTCAAGCTATCTCGTGTACGAATGGTCGCTCGACCCTCGCGCGTTATCGGTTGGTTGCGTCGCGCGCTGCACTAGGCGGCCATTCTAAACAACCGGCTCCGTCAACGTTGACGTACGTACGACTCCCAAAGTCTCCTCTTCTTCGTGTGCAACAACGAACATGACGGCTCCGCACAGCCACCTGCCGTACGGTCCGGAGGGAGCCGGCTGCTACAGCGACTACACGCTGGGATGCTTCGACGTCATTCAGCAAGCTTCCCAGCTCTGTCTGGATGCTATCGGTATGATGAAGAGCTCGGTATATTATGATAGCTCTAGAACTATAGCCCTCCGCTCCGCCGCAGGCGCCGCAACGTGAACTATTCATGTTGTTTGTGCACAGCTAGGCCGGGCGTGCGTGCGGTGTACTTATGTGTTGCAGATGAGCATTTGACCGGCATTTACGGGTAATTAGCGACAATAATAGGCGAGAAATAGAGTAGAGAAACTTTGGTAGTAAATACATTTCGTGTTTATTTACCTTTTTTTTATTGAGGCGTTCCAAGTGCCTGTGCTATAAGACCTTCGCTCCGCCGCAGGCTACGGCAGGCAGACAGGCTGCGGCGGAGCGAAGGGAGCAGAGGAGGGAGGAGAGAGAGCAGGGAGCAGAGTACTCCCGATCTGCCACGCCTCTGCACTTTTGTAACTCTAGCTGTACTGTAGCTGTGCTATTAACCTATATAAGGTTTCAACGATGCATCGTGCGTGGGCGTTCGCATTTTGATCTGATCTACATGCTTCACCTCGCTCGTAGCATCGCGCCACGATTCCCAGCTTTGCTAATGTATGGGCAAATAGCGCTGCGACGTCGGTTGCCGTTGACTGCCAAGATAATATTCCTCGGTCGTTCTTATACGTTCAAACTGGAGCCGGGCAGGCTGACAGCACGTGTGCATGGTAAAATCTGATCTACATGCGTCACTTCGCTCGCGGCATCGCTCCAGGATTCCCAGCTATGCTAATATATGGGCGAATGGCGCTGCGTCGTCGGTCGCCATTGACTGCCGTATTTTTGTTATAAAGAGGATGTATGCCCTGCCACACCCGTCATAGCTCCTAGGTATACTCTCTTACGCACCAGCAGGTTCAATACTCCACGGTCATATAGAGGGCGTTTCAATGACAGGGGGGGGGGGGCTGAATTCGAACGCTAGCGCGCGCTCCGCTCTTCTATGTATTTACTATTCGCTTTATTTCTACTAAGTTACTAGTTCCATCTCCAGTTAAGTCCATCTAAAGTTCTAACTCCATTATCCAGCGGGTCTAATTCCCAATACGTCCGCATCGTTCACTGCTACGTTCCTCCCACGTTAAACTCACTGGTTGTTACCCTGTACGGCAGAACCAACGCGGTTGCCATCATCTCGTGTGTTGTCTACGCGCGGCGATAGGTGGCGTGGCACGCACCCGCCAAAATTGCTTATTAGTTCCAGCGGTCGTCTGCGTCGCAGCGAACGTCGGCCGATTATAAACCGACGACAACCCGCGGTTATTCGGTTATTCGCACATCACGGCTGACACACGTCGCCCGCGCGCGTGCGTGCGTGCACCGCGTTTTCGCGCTCACCGCGCAGCGACGACTGGCAGCAGCAGCAGCCGTCGGATGAAAAAAAAAGACGATGTCGTGACTGCTGCCGACGACGACGGAGGCAGCGGCAGTTAGACAGAAGCCGATTATGCGAAAAGCCTGATGGAGATTGAGTCGCCATCTCATCCGAACACAAGCTGACGATAGGCGGGGATTTCACGGAGGGGGGGGTTTCTTGGCTACCGTCAAACATAGTTTTGTTGATATCGCAGGACAATTGTACGCATTCCATTTCATTTGAATGTTGCATGACCGCATCCTTGATTCTTCTATGTACACAGGAGGACGTAAGACGTTGTGTCATGACAACTGGGAGGATGCGGATTGGTTGGCATTCATTCTGCTGCTGTGGGCTTCAGGTAGCTGAGAGAGTGTGTGTCTGCAGGCATGGGTGCAGAAAGTCCAGCTTGTTGACAGGCTGGATGTGATTGTGAGGAAGGGAGAGTAGCGCATAGGATGTTGTATGAGCAGACTGTACTTGTTTTGTGGGATTGTGAAGAATAGAGCTTGTCGGCAATGGAAGGGAGTTGGTGGTTTGAGGTCACCCGCACTTCTGTGCTCTTCCTCTTCTCATGCGTTGCTCAGTGCGCTCCTTTGGACGCTAAGAGCTTCTTGTGACATAAAAGCTGTCTGACAGGACTGATTTTCGCTTTGAGACTCTAGGGGGGGGGGGTAGTGGGCCAGTCGAGCACCAAAGGTGTGGCAGCCAGATTTCCTGTCGGTCCCAGGCGACTGGCCACACAATCGGGTAGACAGCTGCCGTGCACCGGACGTGTCGTGGAGAGGTAGAGTGCCTTTGACATGAAACACGGACACTTTGACGCAGGCACGAACCATTGTTTGGCCCTGCTCAAACATCATCACTCATCCTCAGGCGGATGTTGGGAACTCGGACTCGAGTTCAAGACTGGGAAAGGATGCTTGGATAGATCGAAGGCTCGAGCGTGGGCTGCCCAAGACAAGCAGCCGACTGAAATCAGTGTCTGCTTGTCGTAGAGTGCGTCTGCCCTTGAAGTGACTGGCCTTCTTTGATGTGGCCTCCGATTTGATCTGGACCATTTTGCTTGTATGGTTTTGTGGCAGTGCATACTGATTAGTGAAGCGGAAAACTGCTTGCTTTGCTCATCTCCCGTAGTCAGGTGCATCCTGGAACATATCACGTGATCGTGGCGCCACTTGGGGGCCATTGCAGGATGTTATTAGAGTAGCTGGATGCTGCTCGTTGCAGCGGGGGTGAGTGTAACTCCTTTCTCCAGCGCTCTGGCCTCGATCTTCTGCCGATGGGCGCTCCTTCCAGTTCTTCTCCTTCCTTCTGGCTTGTGCGTCTGTTCTTCTCCTTCATAATCCATCGATCCCGTGGTTCTCCTCATCCCCAGTTCACTGTACATATCTTCATGGCGAATGTCGAGGTGGGCACTCATGAAAAGAAAAAAAAGCTGGGTATGAACAACCAACAGCCACATTGCTGGACGCTCGTGATATGTCGCTTCATATCCAGGACCCCTCCTCGGCTGTGATATATGTCTGGTTCGCCAGCGAACTGATGCGCTGAACTGCGGTCGCATCAAGAATGGGGACAGACATGTGGCCTCCTAGTAGGCGTCCTCACCGGGGCACGCTGGGCGAAGGTGGCTCATGCTGTCGAAGACATACAGCTCATGTAGCAGGCATAAGTTGTGGTGACCTGCTGGGCGGAAGACAATACGGCAGGGCATTGCCGTTGAGACAGGTGCTGCTGGAGGAGAAAGCTCACCATAGTCCGTCGTCGGACACGGCTAGGAAACACTGAGCGCTGAGCAGTGGTCGGCTTGATGAGACGTCGACCGCCTAAGACCTCGCAGTTGGGAGTGTTATTCTGGCCTGTCTCACAGGTAAGTGACGACTACTCAGCTTCTAGGGTATGGATCTTGGGACAATTGTGAGTTAGAATCTGCTGGCAAGCAACACGGCGGATGATGAGAGCGGTATGCGTAGAGCCTTGTGGTGTTCAGGTCTTCCTCGGTGATGTATAAAGGTGTCAGTCGGCAGCGCAAACCGCTGGCGTCATAGAGAAGTCACGCCAGAGTGGCTTCATCAGTGTTACGGCTAAATTACAGGCCAGGAAACATGAGGTAGTGTCGCATCGATAGGCCCGAGGTGTAGTATAAATGGTCCGCGGCTGGAGGGGTCTTTCCATTGGACTGGGGAGGCATGACAGTTCTGATATAGTTGGAGATCAAGCAGAGAGGTTGGTGTACTGCATACGAAAGTTCTTGAGAGTCGTCTCGGAGATACAGGAGCGTTCAGGGCAACGGTGCTGGGGTGAACGCGGTGGTGAAATCGATTCGATGGTCCAAACACCGAATAAGTGTCTTAGGGGCTATGGGCAGAGCCAGCGCCTAGTCGCGGTTTTGCTGCGCATTAGAAAGCAGGCGCCACTCGCACAGCGCTTGTCACTCAACTCATGGAATTGCGACAGCGGCTGGCCGTTCAGCTGCTCGGAACTGAAGACTGAAGCTGCGAAGGGCGGATTTGAAGCTTGGTGACTCTTCTGCGGACCGCAGCTTTCATTGGAATCAGAGGTGGATTCAAGCTTGGAAGGTCTCGTGTTGTGGCTGGCAGCTGTATAGCCTGATAGGCTATGAAGTTGCTGAGAGAAATGCTGTGTTCTTGGTACTCGGGGAATCGTGCTGGCATCCACTCAATGTTTCTTGTCTCGAATGATGCAGGCTAGGTATGCTGGTGAACTCTGCGCAATGACCATCGGTGTGTGGTGAGTGTTTCTAGCATATTTGGTCTTGTAATGTTCAAGTCGGTCAGTTGTCAGCCTATATATAGCTATCTACTGAATCGTGAATTTACATTAAGTGTGCTTATTTTGAGCGTTGAGTCATTTTTGACGCTTGAAATTGCACCCATATCTAAAAGATAACTCCAAAATGGACTCCCTGCTTTTCGAAACCTAAAAAAGAGGGTATTCATGACACTCTAAGGGCACGAGATTCAACAAATTGTAATTGCCACAAATCGAAGCATCGCGGCGGCGGCCATTTGAATTCAAGAAGATGTCAAAGTTGCAACAGGTAGCAACAAGTTAAATAGCTCTCCTAACTAGTAGTAGGAACACGATGTTCATGAGGAAGAAGGTTCAAAGTAATTAACATTGCAAGCGGTCAACGGATATAGGAGATATAGGGCCAGAAGCGACTATTTATCGCTTATCGCACGCTGTTGGCATTGTTACAGTGCGTAAATATTTAATGGCGAATGAGGGCACGAGAGGGCATCGCGCGCCGACGAGTGAGTCGTAACTCGGATGATGCTATAGCTATGGTGTTTGAATCTGCCGGTAAAAAAGAGTTATTTACGAGTTTTGATTAACGTTGACACTCAGCACGCGGCTAGTAGTCGAATGGACTGTGCGTCAGGCTTATAGCCAGACGGCGTGCGCGTGTGGCTAGCGTGTGCGCTTGGAGAGCAGGTGCTTCGGGGTCACATCTTGATAATTTCCTCCGCGGCTACGATTTGTTAACCAGCCGCCGCTTCACCTCCTCCCCCTTCATAAATTCACAAGGCATAGATTCAAGCATCTCGTGTAGAATGGTCGCTCGACCCTCGCGCGTTATCGTTGGTTGCGTCGGCGCGGCTGCACACTAGGCGGGCCATTCCAAAACA